AACTCTGGGTTTGCTTAGACGTGCTGACTGAAGTCCAGGGGACACAGGGAGAGTTGGATAAGTGATCACTGTGGTGCCCCTTGCAAAGACACAGAAACCTATCACCCTGGCATTTTAAAGTAATCATAATAAAAGTTGTAAAGACTTGTATGTGCCATAAACTTGACGACATCTTTGCTCTTAGAACTAGTGGAGCAAATCATCTATTTCTCACATCTCCAAAAAAGGCAAAGAAATTACACTTGAAATCAGCACCTCTGTGCTTCCCTTGCGTGCTCATTTCAGATTCAAGTCCGGGTGGAACTCCCCTCATTTAACTGATTTTTTTCCCCTTGGTTTCTTATTTTTAAAACAATATTGGCTGTTTTTTCTGATTATAAAAGTAGCATACACTGCTACTTAGATTTTGGAGCACGAAGGAAAGTCTGGAGAAGAGAGTCATAACCATGCATTCTGTCTGCTCAGCCCAGCTCCTCTCAGAGGCGTGGCCCATTCCCATTCTGCCTTCTGTCTGTTACTACGACAATGCCTTCTCTCTTTTTTTTTTTTACACTTTTTCTAACACCTGCTTTCCCTGATATCCCCTTTACTGATTTCATTTTCTAATTTCTGTTCTGAATATCCTGTTATCTCATATTGTCTTCTGTATTGGAAAGGGTGTATAAGGATGTGGTCTACATAAAAGGAGCTAAAAGTTAAATTTTGTGATATCCAGAAAGTAGAAACACATTTTTAAACATATGTGCAAGTACATGGGCTCAGCTGTATTGGTTGTGTATCATGTCACTATCCCTTGCTAATGACTATGGACTCCGTGCCACTCTGCACCAGTCTGTTTCTATAACATCAGTACCAGGAAGCAGCAGAGATTGTTCGTTGATATCGTGTTATTTATCCAGGTGTGCTGATCACCAACATAGAGTCTACACTTTGAAACAAGGAAGGTTGAATGTGGATCAGCTCTAAGCAGAGAAAGGAGCCCTTCTCCCTTCCCCCAGCACATCACCTAGTCACAGTCACATCTGTTTAGAACCCTGGATGTAATCAACATTACACACATACACACATGCACACCCACAAAGAAGTCTCTGGCTTTAGTTTTAAAGTTTTACCCGATACCAGATTCACTGTGCACAAAGCACTATGATGAACACCGAAGGGTTAAAAGAAAGGGAAAATGTGGTACCTGCGTTTGCAAAGCAGAAGGGCCCCTCGACCAGTAGCTTGTCTATTGGGCCATCCTGTTACTAAAACAGAGCTATTTCTTAAACCGTGTTCCAATCCTAAAACTGCCCCTGCTCCCTACAGTCCTGAGGCCATTTCTCTGAGCCTGTGTCTCCTGTGTGTGCCCCAGTAGTTCTGTGATGGTCCCTTGCTGGGCTCCTCTCCCTCTCCCTGAATAACCGTCAGGTCTCCCTGAGTCCTAGACATGTCTCTCTGCGCCCTGTCTTCTCTCGGTTGCCCCGTCCATGACTCTTACCAGCATTGTTACTGTGAGTTTTCAATATGTCCCTGTCAGCTCACCCCTTTTGGTCTTCCAGTCCAAAGTGGGACAGCCTTCCCCCAGCTGTGCCATTGGAGCACTCACCAGAGATGGACGGGCAGAAGAAAAGGGGGTGGTTGGCTCTCCCTGGTACATGGAGGGGATATGATATGGACTGGGGGAAGTCGCCTCTGTGTGGATATGTTTCACTCAATTTGTCCTGGCTCAGAATTCAAAGCACTGTAGAGTACCCTGGAAGCCCACCCCCAGAGGAGGCACTGCCTCCGTAGACTCAGAGCTGCTTTCTGTGGCCATGTGGTAATCTAGTGGTTGCAGACCCCTCTGCACCCCTTAGGCTTATCCAGGGCTAGTTGTATGTGGAGCGCATGCATCTGTGGTGACATATTAGAATATTTCACATGGGTTTGGTTGGTGACCTGAGGTTATCACCTGCAAACCTAGGAGCAGTATTGGGCACATATTTAATCATGGACTGCTCCACAGAGGTAGACAGACCAATCCCAGGGGCTTTGGGCATTTTTTAGGAGGAGACCCAACACCCAAAACCCAAAGGCTACCATATGATGATATCCAGATGTCACCACCTTCGCAGTAAGGAACAGAGGAAGAAGGAACAGCCCACTCACCCCAGAGCTGCCCGCCATCGCCAGGGAACATGTGCATTCCTTTTTTAAGCCGCACGCCCAATGCCTGGGTCTGCTCTTGTTCAGTTTCCATGCTGAAAAAAGGACTTAATTCATTTGTAGACTTTGTTTCCCTTGTTTCTGCTTTTCCATTTCTTGTATTTTTTTTCTTTTCCTCCTGTTGTTCCTTTCTCACTTCTTATGCTTTTTGTCCTCTGCTTGTTTTTTATTTCACCTTCTCCCTGTCCCTCTCCGATTCCAAACTCCTCCTCCTCCTCCTTTTGTCTTTCTTCGTCTCCTCCTCCTCCTTCTCCTTGTTTGGTCCTTTTTGAAGTTGAGCCCAGTGGCGGGACTCCACGGCGTAGACCTCTCTCCTTCTGCCCTTGCTGTGTCCAGGAAGGTAACGTAACCCCCCAACCTCATCCCCACTGCCTCTCAGGGGTTGTAGCAACACTAGTCAAACAGGGCCCCAAAACCCAGCTATTTCTCTCTTTTTCTCTGACACTCGATAGCCTTGTTACAAAATTCCATGAGTATGTGGCAGTTTCTTACAAGGTACAGTATCCCTTTGACTATCTCGGGGAGGACTGGGCTACAGAGGGAAACCAGAGAGCCTCCAGGTACAGGCCTTTCAGGCTACAGCTGAGCATCCCATGACATTGTGCCGCCACCATTCATGGTGGGACTTTCCAGACTCAGATCGAGCAGCTAGAGGGGGCACACAGGTGAGGAACCGCCTACCTGTGTGGCAGAGATTTATATTGGTGGAGTCGAGGAATACTGTCCTTACAAAGACTGGTCTACACAAATGCCCCCAAGTTCTTTTCCAAAAAAAAAACAAAAAACCCACTAAATGCAAACTTCTCTACCCTGTGTCTTGCTGAGTGTGTGTATTTTTTTTTTAAGTTTGTCTGATTTGAAGTCTGTTGTGATAAGATTGTTGTTGAAAAGGCATGTGGGAAGGGGAAAGGGGAGTGTGGTCATGACTAACCCTTGCTAACCTCTTACCTCTGCTCTTCATGGCGCTCACATTTGACTTTCACCCACCCCGCAATATACCTTTGCTCATCGGCTATGAACAGTCTCTACCATAGCTCATGAGCAGTGTTCAGATGTATCCCAGTGGAATTTTTGTCCTTGCTCATGGAGAGGCGGGAAGGAGGGAGAGACTTCCCAGTGCATTCCCAGCTTGCTGCACTGGACAGCTTGCATGCCTCAGGGCTCCATCTTCCATGCCACGTGGGCACACTGTGCAGAGATGCTCAGAAAGGAATGCATGGAACTGAGCTGTGGGCTGCTCTAAAAGCCAAAGGACCAAGTCTATTGGGTCGGGTAAGGAGAGCTTTCATCCCCAAACACTCCAGCCCTCCACAGAGCCAGGCTCGGCTGGTCAGGAGGGAGTTTCTGTCTTGCAGAATAGGACTCAGGGATAGGCCTCCACCTTAGGAGCACAGCCGCACGTGCACCCAGGCACCATGCATACACTAACCCCCGCTTGTGTGAGTGCTATTCATTTCTGCCTCTCCAGAGTGTGGCCCCGTTGAAAGACTAACTGGCTTGGGCCTCCTGCGTGTCAAGCAAACAACGCAGCAGAGAGTTGTCTTTGAACAGTGTGCAAGGAAGTCAGGTGGGAAGAATGTAGGAAACAGTGAGTAAGGAGCTTGACAGAGGAGCGTGTTGTCCCACCTGAGGGTATATTCTGTATGTTTCTGGGTCTGGTCTTTACCAGGATAGGACATCCAGCCAAGTGAGTCATAAAATGGAAGGCACTTTGAAAGATCTCCCAGTCTAATGCCTCTTAACCTGGGGCCCACGGGTGAACTTCAGGGGGCCCAGGAACACCCTGAAGTTCTATATAAAATTGGTGGATGTGTAGACATGTATTTTTCTAGGAAGAGTGTCCCTAGATTTCCTGAGTTTCTCAGAATGGTTTGGAATCCAAAAATATTGAAGACCACTGACAGAGTCTGTCTTTTGCTTTAGGCAGGACCACACTATTGCCATGAGCTTCTTTGTGCTCCAAGGGAAAAGAGTTTGTTCTCTCCTTGGGTGGTCTGATTTCTCGGAAAGTTCTTCCTTCTGTTCTCCTGCCACAGTTAAGCCCAGCAGGGTCCAGCTTCCCCGGATGGATATTTAGTTATCAGCCCCAGAATCTGCTGCTGGGGTTAGGTCAGAGCAGAGGGCACTGCCTTATTTAATAGCGTCTAGGGTCTGCTGGTGTTCTCTCTGCCCTTGGTGAGGAGCCTGACAGCCATCCTGGGAGGTACTGCATGTACCAGGCAGGATTCGTTGGGAGAGTGTTTGTCAGGAAGCCTGATAAGGCCACAGTTTGAGAAAAGCCATCTCCCTGACCAGGAGCTGAAGAGATGGGGACGCATCAGTACAGTGGCCCAGACAGGGGCAGCAGCCCAGGAAAGAGCTGGGCCAGTGAGGGTAACGTCAAAGGGGGTAAGTGCAGTTTATAAATTTGCATTTGCCTGGTTCACGAGACTGGTTTTCTTAAAGCAGACCTAGTACCTAGCAAGTACCAAATAGATATGAAATGAGTGGAAAAAAAGGGAAAAAGGAGGGCAAAGCACTTCAGACCTACCAAGAGCAATCCATTGAGCAGGAGGGGTCCAAACAGGCTGTGACCAGGTTACCGAGGGGGTGCGGGTTGGGCCTGGGAAGGACAGGTGGAGAGCGCAGACTCTTAGGCTCTGGGGCATGGTGCCCCCTTCCATGGCTGTTAGGCAAACTTTGGACCTGGCTTGGGAGTGTTCCGGCAGCATCCTGCTCGGCTCTCTTTGCACATTTGCCCTTGTGTGAGACTCCTGCCGGCCGGGGTAGACAGCAGACACTTGCTGTGCCTGACGCACCCTCTCTCTTGGCAGGCATGGGCAAGAAAGATGACCCCAAGCTGATGCAGGAGTGGTTCAAGTTGGTGCAAGAGAAAAATGCCATGGTGCGCTACGAGTCGGAGCTGATGATTTTGTGAGTGGCCTTTGGTTGGGGACCCAGCTAAGGGGGGCTGTCAGCTTAGCACCTGTCACAGCAGGAGCACAGCTGCTTCCTAATTTAGGGGAATGAGGAAATATGGCCCCCTGAGTCACCGTGCTTGTCTCCCTCTCTCCTCCCCCCGCCCCCAATCCCAGTGCCCGGGAGCTGGAACTGGAAGACCGGCAGAGCCGACTACAGCAGGAACTTCGGGAGCGGATGGCGGTGGAAGGTAAGGGGGAACAGGGCTGGAGGGCACCCGGGAAAGCTGGGTGTGGGCCTGCTGCCTCCTGGCCCTATAGACCTAATGTCTTCGGCCACTGCCCAGATCACCTGAAAACTGAGGAGGAGTTGTCAGAGGAGAAGAAGATCTTGAACGAGATGCTGGAGGTGGTGGAGCAGAGAGACGCCCTCGTGGCCCTGCTCGAGGAGCAGCGACTCCGGGAAAAAGAAGAAGACAAGGACCTGGAGGCTGTCATGCTATCCAAGGGCTTCAGCCTGAACTGGTCCTGAGCTCTACCTGTGCTCCGGCTGGCTGGTCTGTGGCATCCACCTGACCCAGGCTGGGTTCTCCGAAACCACCCAGATGAAAGATCTCAGAAGGCCCGGCATCTCCTGGGAGTTGACACGCAAATGCCTATGTGCCTCTTGAAAAGTGGGTCAAGTGTCTGTGCTCTGGGGAACCCCAGGTGAAGATGATTATCTGAGGTGGCTCATCCTCCTTGGAAGAGGCCCACCCTGACTTCCTGCTCCAGAGAGAGAGGAATACGGAGCATTTGACATGTGATATGGGAAAAAAGAAAACCCGCTCGCTCCCCGAGGACACGCGGTGGCTGGAGCTCCTCCTTCCACAAGAGGAGACAAGAGAAGGAAGCTGCCCCCTCTCCGTCAAAACCACAACCACCAGAGTGCACCTTCATGGAGTGGAAGGGGCAGCGATCTTCTTCATGCTTCCTGAAGCACCACCAAAGAAACGAAGAAGACACCCCGGGGGGGCAAGATGTGACTCAAGTCCCGGGAGAGGGGCAGTGGCCAGCAGGTCAGCTCCTGCCCCAGTATCGCAGGGAAGCTGGAGATGGGCTGGCTCCCGAATTCACGATGCAAGTAAGGAGGACCCAGGAGGGGTCTACTCCCTGGCCCCCTGTACCGCACACTGGACCCCTCGTGGCCAAATGACCCAGGCCTCCCTCTGGCTGTGACCCAAGGCCTGAGGGTTGCTGCATTCTGCTTTGAATTCACAACAATTTTGACACTGGAAAATACTGACTTTGGGGGACAGGATGAGGCCCTACATTTCTAGCCCCCAGTTGACAGACAGGCGTTGTTACTGTTCAGCGCTTCACGTCGGGGTGGGAGATTATCTTTTTCCCTGACCTTTTTCCTGTGTTTGCACATTGAGATGAAGCTGTCAGCCTAGCAAGACGCTCAGCCGCTTCAGACCCTTTTTGTCAATTAACTTATTTTTTTAATACTTGAAAAGAAGTAACTTCATTTTTTATATCTTTACTAGAGACACTGATCACTTGGCACCTGGTGTAGGAGTGACAGGGGTGTCTGCCGTGTCCTCCGACACGGTCCCATCCCAAACTGACTGAACGCTGTTCCAGCCATCTATTTATTAGCCTTCTTCAGAGTGTTGCTGACCCACTTGGCCTCAGGGAGCAGCTGAGAACCCCGCGTGGGTTCTTGGTCCTAGCTCTCCTGTGCCCTCCTGTACTTGGTGGCCAGCCCCTCCTCCTTCACCCGGCCCGCCCTCACTGTGGTACCAAACTTTGTGTCTGCACCATTCATTTGTCAGGGGTACATTTCAGCACTGTTTGAGGCCAGGCCAAAGGGCCCAGATGCCACTCGCCTCTCCCCGTTGAACCCTGGCTCTGCAGAACCCATTTATTTTCTCCATTTTGGTGCCAGGGTTTCACCTCCCCACAGCACATTTATTATTAAAGGTAAGCCCTTTTCCATCCTGGCATTGTAGGCTGGGACCTTGTAATCCCTCTGGCTGATGAGAATTCCCTCAGCCCAGCCTCAGATCCAACCCGATAGAGATGCAAGTATTGGAATTTAGGTTGGTCTCTCACAGTTAACTCTACCCCGAACCTCCTCTGCACCCCGATTTTCATGGAAAGGCACGGGATAATGAGTACCATGTAACTGGCTCCTTGAGCCAAACTGCTCATTTCTCACAGTTCAACCAGAGACTGGCATTGTATAGCTCATAGAGCCACAGTCGGGGAAAATGTGATGGGGCATCCACAGAACTGACACACGGTCAGCCCAGGGAGGATTCCTGTCCGAGCCAGGCCGATCCGGAAGGGCCCTCCAGCAGACTGGTGAAGAGGGGCCAGGGTAGGGCGAGCAGAGGCCTGGCAGCTCCTCAGAGTAGCCTAGATCAGGTGTCCATGACGACCTTGGGACTTCCGTGGGGAGCCCCGCCAATGCCTCAGCTTGAAGCTTCATTCCTAGTACAAAGGAACAGGGAACCTGTCTTGCTCTTCACTTTGTCCAGAAGCTGCCGTCTGTCTCCTGTGGAAGCGCAGAAGGTGTGCTGCTAGCAACCATTGCAGCTCCGACTCCTTCACTTCCTGTTCTCGGATGAGGCGGAGTGTCTGTGTTTATGCGCTTTCTTAAAAAGGCGAGAGGAGGGTGTTCTGGATTCCCTCTTTAAACTTCACCCTTCCAGTAAAATTGGACTTGAGACAGGCCCCTCATCGCCTGTGTGGCCTTGTCCCTGACCCTCTTCGCCCCTCGAATGCTGCTGTAGCCAGCCCAGCCCCAGGAGAGCCGCCTCCATCCCTCGTGGCTCCTGTGAACCCCGGAGCAAGGCAGCTCTGTGCCAAGTGGCAGGCTCGGGACACAACCGCAGCGACACGCTGTGAGTAGCCTCATGTAGCGCGGGCGCCACACGGGACCTGTGCCCTCGTGGCCGGCCGGGCCCGGTCAGCCTTTAACACCCCTGCATCCTTCCGAAGCACACCCTGCGGCCTGCGGTTGCTAGAAAGGGGACTGAAGACTTTGCAGAGAAGCTTCCAAAATCCACAAGCCTCCAACACGTGCCCCGGTTCTCCACTCCCAACACTGTTAGGACTTCCGGCTCTAGTAGTGCCCCTTTACTTTTAAAGCTCCCGTTTTATAACCACTAGTTTGCAGTTTATTTTAGTACCCTGGTGACAGGCTGCATGAAATGTTTTCCAACTCTGGAAATGCATACAGCTCCAGGCAACTGTTCCTCCCGAGATTTAAGTCCCCTTGAAGGCAGGGGACACAGGAAATGAAATGCCAGAGCTTGAGTGAGCCCAAACACAAGGCCCACACAGTAGGCAACCAGTCCTGCATCACCAGAGGGAGGTAGCAGACACCTCCACTCCTGAGTCTGAGGGACTCCGTGTGGGGTTCTCACCCTGCTCAGGTGATATCTTTGGGCCTTTGCCCCCAGAAACCATCCTCCAGTTGCTTTTGACCAGCAATGATAGACTGTTCTTTATCCTCTGAAAAGGGAAGAAAGCTTTCAGTGGGGCAGGAGGTAGAGTTCAAAGAAAAACAGTTGTAAGGCGGTAATAACTGAGCTGCAAAGGGGAATGGGCCACTTTATGCGCAATAAAAGTTTTTCACAGAAATACAGAGTGTATTTCTTAAGTCATTTTACCAAACTTGGCAGCGAGCCAGGATGCATTTCCACGTTCCAGCACCTGCCCTTTTCAGGTACGTGGTGTCCATGCAAGTCATTTAGATGCCTGGCGCATGTGTGGGTGTGTGTCCAAGCTTGTTTAAAGAACACAACTTCATCTTACCCAGGCTGAGCCATCAACTGCTGTCATTTGAGAAAATGCCTGAAACAACTTAGTGTGATAGACGCTGTTCTTCAAAACCAGGCCCCAGTACCGTCTTGAAGAGAAGAAGCACGTTCTGTGAAGTGAGATTCTTCAAGTTGGAGTGGTCCCGTGCTCCTGGCAGCCTTCCTTGCCAGCCCTGCGTCCATGCCAGCCCGGCCTCTGTCCTTTGACACAGCTGAGCAGGGAGCCCAGTGGCATGGGGTCTACAGCCTCCAGGCCTAAATCTTTCAGATGTGTCAGGGTCCACAAGTACGTTCAGCATAGGGTCTTGGAGAGATGATATCACCCTTCTTTGGACTGGAATCATCCCCAGGAGATCGAAGGGAACAATCCTGGCCAACTCTTCTCTCTGCTGCAGGAAGCCTCTTGGGTTTGTCTCCAAGTGGAGATACATTCCAGCTCTTTTCCCCTCCCTTGGTGTGATGACTTTGTCATCACCCACAGAGCTAACTGCAAAGGCACATGTCTCCCTCCGGCCCAGTAACGGCTGCAGGGAGAGAAAAAATGGCACTAGATGGGTGGAGGGGAGTGTTGGCCAGCCTAGAGGTCTCTGCCATGGAAGCTGGTTCCCAGAACCTCTCAGCCTTATTGCCCGCTATCCCAGAAAGAAGAAAGGGGCCTCTCTGACACCGACATGGACATCTCAGGCAGAAAAAATATAACTAGCTCGAGTGAACTTTCTGTGGCCATGGTGCATGCCTGCTGGGGAAGACTGGAGTTTGGTAGTCACCACCTGTGCCGATCTCAGTCACCTTTTGTTCCTCAGAGGGGCTGGCTTTGATTAGAGGCGGAAGCAGGCAGGATTTGGCTGCGGTTCACAGCAGCCCCAGGTGGCCAGAAACGACTGCTGCTTTTAGGCTGGTAACCAGAAAGGAAGACTGCCCAGGCCCCCATGTAAGTGCCACCTCAGAAGCACATACCCTCATTCCTTCCAAGAAACTACCATGTCTTACGGCTCTGAAATCCCTCCTGAACCCTGAGTCTTCCTGGTCCCTTCTTAGGAATCAGAGTGAAAAATGGCAAACGGAGAGAATGTGCCATTTTATTTTATGAGCTGGCCAGACTGGTCCACTTATGGAGACTCTCCCTCCTCTTGTGTTACCTGCTCGGAAGATGCCCTCCCAGCAACGCTCAGTGAAGAGGGTAAGAAGTCATCCTGTTAGGTGGGTTATGCCCCACTAAGACATCAGCCCAGGGGCCAGAGCTGCACCTCGTACACTAAACCAAGGAGCCCGTTAGGCTAGGTGCCCAGGGTCACAAAGCCCTTTCACGGACACTCCCGGACGGACCACCTGTCGCTGCTGAACTTCACCGCATAGCACTTTGTGACAGCCTCACTCCTTGTGTCCCCTTGAGGTCTTCCTGCAGGTGGGGCTTAAACAGGGAAGCCAGAGTCCTGGCTTCTGTGAGTAGGCCATGTGTGCTGGCTGCCTCCGCCTGAGAAGCCAGCTGATACCAAGACAAATATGGAAGAGGGGACAGCGTCCATGATGCGTGCACACTCATGCGCGTGTGTGCATACACATAAGCACCTTCCTTTTCATGGTCAGCATGACCTTTCTCCAGAGTGGACATCTAGCTATAAAGTAGGCTGAACTGAAGCCTTTGGACCCAGGAGGGACCAGCTGTGGTGGTGGTCCAGGATCCCGGGCTAAGGCAGGATCCAAGTTGAGGATCTTGTAACAATAAACAGCCTGGTGCATGGAAGACCACAATTGCATGGAACAGTCTCCAAAGTAGGCAGATGGAGCAGTCCCCCAGATCCAGGGGAAGGGTCTTTGGAGTACCCAGTGCAGGTGTGGGGCTGCCTCACACAACCTGGAAATGAGAAGGAGGTTGCTGGGGTCTGTGGCCATATGTGAGAGCGCGGCGAGGAAAGGGAGTTAGCATTCAGACATGAGACTCGCTCCTGCCTCTTCCCTGACTTCAGAGGAAGCTGAGGCTTAGCACGTAATTGGTTGGTGCCTCCCTCCCTGTTAACCAACCCACAAGATCCATGGGAGGGCAAAACATTGAAGGGTTTGAGATTCTTAAATCGGGGCCTTTGTAGATGGACAGACATCTTTCATGATGGTAACTAAGGTTGCCCTTGAAGAAACCAGAGGAGGACTGAAGGCGGTCCCAGCATCTCTAGGGGCTGGCTCCTTACTACCCAAGTTCATCTCCGATCTATCTGGTGAGCCAATGGAGTTGTGCATTTATTTTTAATTACTTAAAATGCTGGGCTGAATCTTCTGTTTCCTCTCAGGAACTTAACTTACTCAATCCAGATTGCTGTAGACAGGCAGGGTTCGCAGAACATTCAGATGGGCCGCTGCTGGGTGTGTGCCTGAGGCTGGACCATGCTGAGCCCGAGTCAGCACTCAGTGCCTTACTGGGAACAAACCAGCACTCTCGACTCAAGGGGACGCCCCAGTCTTTTCCCTCCTGCCCCCTTCTACAGCCCACAGCCACCGGCCACCTCCACCTTCATCTTAAGGCAGCTCTGCCAGACCTGCTCTCCCTGCGGTGGCTTGGGGACATGTCGTGGGTACCTGGTCCTCCAGAGTCATGATCAAGGATAAGGGATTCATCCAAGTGAAGGCTAGGGTATGTTAGTGTTCCAATGCTGATCAAGAGCCAAAACAAGGGTTCACTCACATACACCAGAGGCAACTGGCACAGCAAGCAACGGGGAAAAAATGAGTGTTTCTTGGTAGAAAGGCCCGGATGAATACCCAAGGTTTGGCACTGTGGCCGTCAGGTTGTCTCCCCAAGAGCTTGAATGCCAGGTCTTTCCTGTGGAGAAAAATGCAAGAAGCACCTGACAGCCAAGAGCCCCCTTTCCCCAGCTGCATTTTATTTAACACTTTTTAAAAATGTTTTTAAAGAATTAAGTACCATTTTTAAAATGTAACCAGGGCCAGACTTACTTGGTACCAGCCTTCATATTGGGACAGAATCCTGTTTCTGGCCCTAGTAATTAATGTTGTAAGTCTTCATCACATTGTTGTTCAAGTCACCTGTAAAAATCTGGGTGGGGAGGGTCGTGCCTGAGGCTGGAAGATGCTTGCCTTGGGTCAGCACTTGGTGCCTTATACCAGTTTGGGAACAAACCAGCACCCAGCTTGGGGTGGGGGGGCACCCTCTTCTTTTCCCTGCTGCCTCATCTACAGCCCAGGGGATCAGAGTTGGTGGAGCCTTACCTCCTGCGGGGTGGTGACCCCAGAGTGAGTGTCTCTTCTGAGTGAATCACCCCAGCATGACCTTGGCCCCTGTTCCTGGAAGATGCAGAGACAGCCCCAGGGCCCTGCCAAGTTTTCCTACGGGAAGGTATTTGGAAGAAGCATCAAGAAAAGACAAGTCTTCTGCAATGCTGTGCCTGAGGAGCGTGGGGAGCGGGGATGCCCGCTGTGCTGACTGCGGGGGCTGACGTGGACAGGTACACTAAGTTCATGCCTGTGTGTGCTAAGAGCCCTGCCCACCCTGTTGCTGAAGTTTAGTCTTTAATGGGAAGGGACAAGGGAAACAAATAGTAACTTTTCTTCGGTTTGGTGTAGCCGAGTGCACATTTACCCTCCAGCTGTTTGCACTCCTATGGCCGACAACCAAAATAAAGTCCGTCATTTTTTTTTCTTCTGTGTGGAAGAGGATCATTTCTTCCCTCCTTCAGGTGCCAGGACCCCCTGCCTACCCAGCCTGGCCTCCGGCAGGGCTGGTATCCACAGGGGAGGGTAAGCTGTGTTGCTGCTGGTTACTCCTGGCTCCTGCACTGTCCTACCTGCCCCCGACAACTTTGTTTGGATTGAAAAAAACCCAGCTTAGAGTATTCCTGCCTCTCTTTTCCTTGATCTTACTATGTATCTTGAAAGAAAAGAGCAAACAGAAAAATTGTCTTTCTGCCCAAACTAAGGATCCCCCCCGCCCCCCAGCATCTCCTGCTTTTTCATCTCTGGGTGAGCATGGGAAGTTTCCCTGCAGCACAGCGCGGGGGGCGGGGGAGGGTGGCCGGGCTAATGGAGGAAACGGCACCTCTGCTGTTGGAGAAGGTAGTATGGGAGGGTCTTAAGGGCAATAAAAAGAGGACATGGACTGAAAACCTGAAAACCTAGCTACGTGATCAGGGATGAAAAACTAGGAACCCAGTGATTTCAAGTCAGGACTGTGGTAAGGAGACGGGCATCGATGGGTTGACCCTGGAGGAGGCCTTAATCAGCAGAATGGATCGGATGGCACTGAATAGAGGGGAGGGGGCAGGCCTGCTGGCCTCTCCACGGTGGGCATCCTTGCAGCCAGGCCCCCTTGCCCACCCAGCCTGGGGAGTGCGTCCATTCTGCTCCTACCTAGTCAAGAGTTGGAGACCAGGGGCGCCTGGCTGGCTCAGTCAGTGGAGCATGCAATTCTTGATCTCAAGGTTGTAAGTTCAAGCCCCACATTGGCTGTAGAGATTACTTAAAAAAAAAAAAAAGTTGAAGCTGGTGAAGAACTTTGTGCATAAAGCAAGTGGAAGCAACAGAACCATGTCTGCCCCCTTAGGCCTTCTACCCCAAACTCCATACTTCCTTCTCCCTGGAGAGGAATTCTCCAAGGACCCTGGGGGAGAACAGAGACACAACCACTCTGTGGATGGGGCCATGATAGCAGGAGCTAGGGACAGCTACCTGCTTCTGTCCAGGGGGCTGGTGGCTGAGAAGGATGCTGACAAGCCCTCCTCCAGCTGAGGTGGGACTGTGCCCTTGGCCCTGGCAGCTGAGGAGTGCTTAAACATCAACAGATGTGTTTGGGCCTTCACGTGCCTAGGAACTGACCTTGGCTTTGAGAGCCAAGCACGGAGTTCAGCCGGGGACAGGGGCCACTGCTGTTTTCACCACACAAAGAACAGTGTCTGCAGCGCCCCCTCTGGGCAGCGCTATGGATCTGCTTGGTCCCATGGATTTGGAGAGGTCCGCTGTTGAAAACATTGCCCATCCTTTTTCCCCCCCAAGCCAACAGAGTGGTCTCCCCTGCCCCCTCCCTTTTCCCTTACGCTCCTCTAAAGATGATCCCGAGTCTTATCCCCTCCTTTTCTCCCCCACCTCCAACCTGGAGAAAGTTCTTGATTGGAGGCCACTTGGCTGCGTGAAACGAGCACTGGACCCAGGAATCTGTTCTGGCGTCTGGCCCACAGCGTGGCCACTACTTGGCTGGCTGATCTTGGACGTGGCTCCCGAACCTGTTTTCTACCCTTGAAACGAGAAAGTCACCTTCACTCTCTGCCCCATAAAGTGGTTGTGGGGCAGCAAAGAGATCAGAGATGCTGAGTGCTCTGCGTTTTGTGGGCCCTATGCCTGTCCCTCTGTGGCTGCTGAGTCATAGTGGCACGCCGGCCACCAGAGCCACACGGAGGTGCTCCACTCAAGGTGGAACCCGGGCCACTGCCCACAAGCAGATGTGCTCCCGTCCCAGGAGGTAGGGGAGCTGCTCCTGCCCTAGCACCTGTGACAGGAACCGGCAGCAGCTGCTCAAAGTCTGCTCTCCAGGAAATGAGTGACACCTGAAGCCCAGGGCAGCGTTGGCAAGAAAGGAAGTCACGGGGTTGGGTTGGATGGGGGGAAAGCCAGCATAGGAATAAAGAACCAGAAACTTCATGTAATGTGAGGCAGGTGTCTCCTTGCCTTCATGATTCCAACCCAGGCTCCAGCTCTGGTGTGCATGGATCCATCGCAATGAGAGTCACAGCCCTACCCCCAAGGAACACAAAATTCCACATACAGCACTCACTCGCTCTGCCACATGGCATTCTTAACCTGTGCGTCTTTAAGCAGAATTCTGGACACTGATCTTCCCTCTTTCTCAACATCCCTCCCTCTGACAAATGGCCATGTAAAATGTTCAAGCCAGTCATGGCCAGGCCCCTACTCCACTCCGGGGCCCCCACGCCCTCCCCTTGGTTTGGCGTGATTCAGCCACCATCCAGTGAGCTAGCTTCAGGAAGGGCAGCCGCAAGGCAAAGGAGAGCGTGGGGAGCACGTGACCTGGCCCGCCCTGGCAGTTAACTAATGGAGGACCCAGCTCTTTGGCAGAGTCAGCCCACCTCCTCCAGGAAACTCCTGTCTGCCTCTTCCCCTGGAGCCCCTTCTGACCAGAGCCAGACTCTGGAAGGGGACGTTTCTGGGTTTTCTAGCCCCTTGGGCCTAGGGAGTCAACCCCCTGAAAGTTGCTCTGCTATGATTCCCTGAATGGGAGCCTCAGTGGCAGCTGTTTGTTGTTGACTCGATAGAAAGGTCCAGGGGAAAGGCTGCTAAGGTAATATTGGAAATCCCAGACTAGTTGTTTAGCCCAGTACAGGCACCGAGTCGAAGCTGGGTCAGAGCCAGCCACCCACAGCTTCCCCCAGGCCATACTGCCAACACATACCGGGTGGGGCTGAAAGAAAAAAAGTGCCTGACGTTTTCCAGCGCTGACAGCTCACCTGTACAAGATCGTGGGTATGAACACGAACTTTGCCCCACAGGCCCTGGTCCTGGAGGTAGCCATTTCCCCTCTCCTCCTGCAGGAGCTGTTTGGCGTTCCTCCCTCTAGACCCTCCTGCCTTCCAAGCCTGCATGTCCTTCAAGGCCCAGAGCCTAGACTCTGTGTTGGTGGGAAAGCACTTGGATGCTTTCCTTCCCAGGCACCTGTCTACAGCTCCTGCCCTTGTATACACACATCCAGGGACAGGGGAGTCGTGCCTCCATGTAAACCACTGCTCCCTGCCGCCTGGCACTTTGCTTTCCGCTCCCCCCACCGGGCCTCCCATGTTGGCCTGTCTTACAGCACCTTAACCCCGCTGTCTGTTCCTGCGTGTCAGCCCAGGGTCCACCAGGGATGGTAAGCCCCTGGCTGGACCCACGGTAGAGTCCTGAGTCGGGCACAGAGCAAAAGCTCTGAGCTACTTACTCACTTGGGTCTGGAAACAATAAGACATCATGTTCTTCTCCCCTCCGTTAGTCTGCCTGTTGGTTTAGAAAGCCTTGGAGGGCTCACGTGCCCCCAGCCTCTACCCCTATCAGAGAGTGGGGGGTTATGGACAACTAGCTGTGTACGTGGTACTCTGTGTGGTGCCGGGGCCCCGCTCCCCTCCCACCCGAGGCCACACCTTCACCTCGCGTTCACCACTCCAAACCTCCGTTGTCAGATTCTATTCCTGAGGTGAGGGCGATGGGGGTGTCTAGATGGAAGGAGCATTGACTTCCCGGCTTCGGAGTCAGCTGGGTGCGTCACAGCTGTGGGCTTTCACGAGCACTGGGAAGAGGGAAGGAAGTGGCATTTGTGGGCTTGCGGAAACTCTGACCCTAAGATTGGCACCTCTGCAGAGGCGGGGCCTGGGGGTGCTTGTGGGAAGCGGGCACCAGAAGGAAGAGCATGAGCCCATCTGCCACCCAGAGCCCCCACCCCATGTGGACTTGTCTCTGGAGGAAGTCAGAGGTTTTGCCTCCTGCAGTTGGAGGAGACAAGATGCCATCAAAGCAGGCACAAGAAAGGACTTAGTCCACATGTGATATGCCAGGCATCAGGGACCAAATGCAACAAGGTGGCCACGGGCACGTGCTCTCAGAGCTCAGTTAACAAGGCCCAGGGGCACTGGCCTGCCACCCTCCTTCATCCCTTCAGTTTCCCAGGGCCAGGCACCTGAGGTCTATTGAGAGCCAAGAGACACTACTGAGCACCAACCCTGCCAGGAAATGAGGGAAATGAGAAACACCTGGAGAAGAAGTTCGTTATCAAGTCCAGGTGTGTGCAGTGCAAGCCACTGAGGGACTGACCGCTAGGGAGGGGCTGTGGAGGCAGCTCAGAAGGTGACAAGGGAAGGAAGGGGATGGGGGAGCAAGCAGGCAGTCCCTCTCCTCTCCTTCCTTCCTCTTAGTGCCCCTTCAGAAACCCCAGCAATTGAGGTCCTACTCCCTGAACCACCTCCCTGCACCCCGGCCTCTGACTCCCAGTCGGGCACCCGCAACTGCAGAGAGATGCTGGAGGGCCTCTGCAGGGATGCCAAGTAATAACTGCAATGGCGGCCATTTG